GAGGACTTTCTCACTTCAACATAGATTCTAACTACTTTCTACCCGCTGATCACAGCTAATATAGCAAAGCTGCTCTCTGGCATCAAACACAGGAGCAGCAGAAACATCTGGACTCACTTTACTGGACGTCCGACCTTAATGTGGACGAGCAGCAAGGAGGTGGTTTGCTGGTTCCAGCGCGTGCCGTCTGAACGTAGCATTAGTGTATAGAATGTTTTATATAATTATCAACGTCGATCAACATGCTTTTGTTTTATATCGCCCAGCCCTATAAAATACTAAACAATTACAATTATAACCCACATCTCTCTGGTTCAGTTCCCAAACATCCTGATCAAACACTGATATTAGAAACTTAACTGATTTCAGCCAAAATAAGATTTTGGAGTGATATCTGCCAGGAGGGTAATATGAAACTAAAACAATCTCATTTTGTTATTAAATAGTAATATAGGGTATTTATCTCAGATTTTTTTTTATTTTCATAAGATAATTAGTACAAAAAAGACATCAGAGGCTAATCTTTGGTCCAAAGGTCACATTTTGTCACTAAAGGTTTCTTTTTATCTTTCTGTTCAAAGGGAGTTTTCCTCTCCACTGTCGCTACAAACATGCGTAGTGTGAGGGATTGCCTTCGAGTCGATGCAATCAACTGATTTTCCTTACATTAGATTTCCATACATTAAGGCACAACTGTAACTCAACTGTGGCCATCTTATCTCATTTCCCTTTAAGTGTTGATATTTTTAGCATGCCCTCCCTTTAATGCATCGAAATCCTCAGAAATCAGCAACCTGACGCTCTGTCTGAACTTCCTGTAACCTGTTTTTTAAAAAGAAATGGGTCGGTTGTTCTTATACAGGCTGCTGTTTGTTGTTGTTTTATGAGAAACGCAACAAAAAACAGCAATTAGAGTAAATATGATTAGCGCTCATACCGTATCAGGTCAATATCAGAAATCACTCAAAGCTGCAGTAGCAGAATTTGATCAGAAATGAGACGGTTCTGATCCACGCTGAGTATAAACATTAGCATGATTATCCTAGAGGCCAAAGCAGAGCAGGTTGAGACCGACCTTGCTGGTGCGGATCTGTCTGTAGATGTCCGTCTGCTGTCGGATACGGTACTCCAGGTCCGAGATGTGGGCCTGGAGCCAGTTCCAGTGGCTGATGATGGCAGCTCTCTCCAGGGTGTAGCGACTCTCTGCCCGCTTCCATCTGTAAGAGGGAGGGGTGTTTAAAGCTGAGCCACATCAGAGATCACAAACATACAACATTCATATTTTTTTTTCAATGCCTGGATTTATGATTTATTAGTAAGCTCCAGTTGTGTAAAGGCAAGTAAGATAATCTTTTCACATGCATGAGACGGTCCTAATAATAAACACTGATCATTGAAGCATTTCCTCTTTCAAACTGTAGAGGTCAGTGAATCAGTATTACAGATAACACCCATTAATGACAGCTGCAGGGGGCATGAACGTGCACTTAAGCCAAAAACAAACATTATAACTGCATTTTAGAGGAAAGACAATGATAGAGAAGGCGTTTCCGTAACGCTGCTGTCTCCCAGTGTGAGAGCTCGTAGCTGGGTTCTCCATTTTACCAGTATGACACACAGAATGGGCATTTCAAAGGCAGACATGAGAGGAAAATGTCTGCTCCTGCAATGAGAGCAGCAGCCACCAGGGGTGCTTTTCTTCCAAAATGTAGGCCACGGCAACTGCAGCTGAACAATGAAAATAATGACTCAGATGTTAGACAAAGATAAGACTTAGCACTCCTGTGCATTCTCCCCTTCAGCTCTCGTCTGTTCTCCAAGTCATTGCAGGAGCCGGTAAGAGTCTGCTCAGAAAACGAACAGCCGAGGGCGCGGGAGGCGGATGAAGAGGGGCGGAAAATGGGGACAACGGGGGCTGGGAAGCTCTGCCAGTGTGCAGAGGAACAGACGGGCTTTAAAAGCAATCTACAGGCCAGAGTGCTGGAGGGGGTGGGGCTGGGTCAGGAAGCAGAGAAGCAGACAGTGGGATAGCCAATAATCCAGGCTGGGATCCTGCCTTATTGAGAAGCTGATCGGAGACACAGTTCCTGCACCTTTAAGAGGACACCAAGCAGCTTGATGAAGGATCGCTTGATTCCTCCTGTTTTTCATCTGCAACATTTTCTATCTATGGCTTGTTCACTGCAGTACAGTAACAGTAACATGCCGCTAAGCATTCAGCTGCAGTGTTTCCTGCTAGCACCACTTCCTTTCGCTCTTCTACACACTGAATCCTGTTCTGCTGAGGTAAACAAGCATGCACTCCTTTCACAAACTACATGGTGACAGATACTGCGACAATCCAAGACAACATGGTGCACTTCATTAACAGCCACTAGTCGTGGAGGCGATTCCACAGCAAAACTGAGAAGCTAAAGTATTATTGAGTCTCTTTAATCTGCCTTTATGCTGCGATTCAATGGAAGCTGGGAGGAAAGACAAAGAGAGACTGGAAAAATGATCACAGAATATCCTACTAGAAGGAAAAGGTTGTACTCCATGTGCTGAAGAGGGAATAGAAAACAGCACTGAGCTGCTATACAAAGAAACCAGGTTTGTCTGTAAAAAGCAACAGAAATAAAGTCATGTTTACATCAGGTATCTGTAACAGATTGGATCTAAGGCTACCAGGTTTTTTTTGCCCGTATGCGATCCGGATTGGATCTTTTAACGACACCGATCAGATTTTTTCCAATGCGACCCAGGCCACTTGGCTCTGTGGTCCTGAATCTCATACAAATCTGATCTTTTCACTTCTTAACACTTCTGTTCATTTCTACCGGAACAAACTCGGGACCTAAAGATGCAACCATCGCAATCCAATCCAAATATGAAACTGCTAATCAATTAACAAGATCTTCCAGCTTCTATTAACCACTGTTAGTTAATTTATTTGCTTTCAAATAATAATAATACCTGTATTATAATGTTGCATCAGTAATTAAGGCTAAATATATATGTACATTTTATTACACCAGAAATCAAATTGGATCAAAATATAAAGAATCTACTCTAAATCTTCCGATCAGGATCAAATAGATCCATGAAGTTTGAATTGACACCCAGCCCATTCAATAAGTGATTAGCTTTCTATAACCTGTTAATGCAGCAAATCAAAAAAGGCGTCATCAGATCCCATTGAGGGAAGGAAGACACAGGAACAGCACAGAAACCATTAAAGAAAGGTGGAGCTGCTGCTGCAGAAATTAAAGGGTCTCTCTGTGGAGGCTCATTAGCATTAGCAGGTTGTTAGCCAGCTAAGCGTTATCTGCATCCAGATTGAGTTTAGGCGACTGATGGAAGAGTTAACCCAGTATTTGTTTTTCTTTCTGCAAGTCTTGCAAAGAAAACATACATTTGTACCAGAAAATATTTCTCATTCCTTTCAGCTGTTGGCATCTACGGCACGCCTACAGACACAGGTTGAGCTTTTCACTAACTTTGTTGGATTGGTTTTCTTGGTAATTTGCTGAGCTTTATACCAACTTGCAACACACTCATACGCACACACCTCTCATACACACACACACATTCACTGTACCAGAGACTGCACCTTACCTGCACTACCTCAGCCTGTAATAAACTATTGCTGCTGTTTTATTGCTTTTATTGTAATGTCTATACTTTATATTTATCTCATCACTGTTACCTGTCATGTCCCGCACTTTATGTCAGTTTTTAAATGTCAGTCTTGTATATTTCTTGTATATTTGTATATTTCTAGAGAGTAAACGTAATTAATTTCCCTTGTATGTCTTGTACATATGAAGAAAGTGACAATAAAAGCGGACTTGACTTGAATTAAAAATAGAGATGCAGGAGCTTCAAACGTGAAGAAATATGGAGTTCTGCACAATTAAAATATCAAGACTGGTCCAAAATACCATAGAACACGGAAAGACATGGAGACAAAGTCCAGTTTGAACCCAACCTCATAATGTGGGAAAAAGGGATTTTAAAATGTCTTGAGTGAAGCGCGTTCCTGAAGCAGATGAACAGATTCTGCTGACCTACTGGGATTTTATGTTCAGCCCTGCCTCAGTTTAAAGCGAACAGCAGTAAGAGGAGAAGAGATCCAGAAACCGTTTACTAGAATCTGACTGAATAGATTGGAAGCAAAGGAACACCAGACCAAATTTCAGTCCAAACGGTCAGATATTCATCTGAATATAGATCTAATCTGCTTTGCATCAACAGCCAGGGCTGATGCTGGTGATGAAGCAGCTTTTTGAACATTAAGAGGAATTCCATGTTCCACTAGGTCACCAGATCTCAAAGCAAACATGTGATGGACTAGATTCACATATCTGTGCTAGGGCTGCAATTTATGAATCTGTTGATTATTTTTTGATTAATTATCGCATAGCCAAAGGTTCCTTCAAAGAAATTTCAGCCCTAATCTGAGCATCGACAAACATCCCACAGCTGAGATACCATCATGTTGATATAGACAAGGGCTGCACCATTTTGGCATAAATCAGTGTTTGTTTTTTCTGATTTGCCTTTACACTGATTAAAAAAAAAAACAAAATCCTACTTTCAGATTCCAAGTTTAGATATCATTAAATGCCTTCTTATCTGGAGTCCAATACATGCATTCCAACTTAACGCCTTCTACTGCCACCTAAAGGGCTGGAGTGAGATTCTTAATATTTAATAGATGCGATGAGAGCAAAAATTAAACTTGGAAATTAATCTTTCATTTATTTATTGCAATGATGTTGCAGATACTCTTCGTTATATAGACCCTAAATTAGATCATGATCTTGTTTTTTTTTTTTTTTTACCGATCTATTTCAGAGAATAGAAGCAGGTCCATCTGCTTTTTGTAATAATACACTGCTGAACCTCTGCGTTCTCCAGGGAATCTAGGGAGAATATAAAATAAAATAAAAAAAGTCTATCTTATGATAACTCCTTTTCCCAGGACTCCCTGTCCAAACACAGGGATTCATATAAACAGGACTGAGGAGTGTTTAAGGAAAATAATCACAATCGTCTGTCCTGCTTAAGGTCAGCGTTAAAAGAAGCTAAATTATGCAGTAAATCTATTTATAAAGAAATCACCCTGATATAAACTTTCTAAAGGTTGAGAGGAAATGATCAGGTGGAGGATACTTTAGTGTTTAACTCATCGGTATGAACCCACATACTGAAGCAGACTTTAACACTCGTAAGACTTTATGTATCCAATCAACAGAGATGAGATGCAGAGGAATGAGGAACAGGAGGTATTGCCCCCCCCCTCCAACACACAAAGCGCCTACAGCAGTTACTACAGCTGCCGTTTCCTGGCCGTCAGCACATTCTGCAGCGTGGCGCTTGTCTGGATGCAGCACATGTGGTTTAGCACTGGGAACCAGTACATCGTACAGACCCAGGAAACCGGGGGCCCAGATCAGAGCCAATACCGCGGCCCCTCAGAACGAGGACTGGCCAGACGCACCACTGATCATCAGTTAATATCCGTCCAACAATTCTTTGACATAATTTAGTTTTTAAATCAGTTCTTCAATACTTTAACTCTTTATAGAGTTTTTGATGACTTGTATAACCATTCATACACAGACATACATACCAAATACTTTGAATAGTTCAACATTTTATCCCCACAACTCAGAAACTAAAACTTTCTTTACACAACAGTAAAATATTTCAGACCTATTTTCCTTGGAGCCTCTGTTATGGCTTAAAGAGATGTTTTTCTGAAGATTGAATCATAAATATATCTGAATCCATCTTCAGGTTATGAAAAGTGTGCTCCTTTCTATAAACCGAACCCTTGTTTGGTTTGTGGCGCAGCAGGAAGGCGGCCCGCCTGTGGCTCTGCTGAGGTCTAAAGGAAACTCAGGTCGCCTACGTTCTAGGCTCTGGTGTCTCATCCTCTTCTCGATGATGCTCCTGTTTCTCTCTGGGCTCCTCAGGCCGCTGTAGGTACCAGATCTGCTCAGGCCCCGCCCCTTCTTATGACATCAACATATGGCAACTCCAATCACTTAAACTGTATTGTACCCGTTTCTCAAGGATTAAATCTCTTTTGGAGTCTCAACATATTATTACATATATTTTCTATTATTTAAGGTGACAAAAAAAGTCTGAGCTTATTTTGATTCTTTTTATTAAAATCTGTGGGCAGAGGAGGAACATCTTATAAAATGACGTAGAGATTTTAGACAAA